ATCTGAATCCATTAAATTATTAAATATTAAATTTAATACACTTGAGTACATATCATATTCAATGATAAATGAATATGCTATCCCTTAATTTTGAGACCAAATTTTGTTTAGAATATTCAGTGCCACTTAAATAATTTGGATGTTCAATTTTTGGTTGTCAAACGGTCTGAATATGTTAAGATTTGAATCTATTGAGTTTAAGTGTTGAATTGAATTATTAAATAGGGCCTTAGATAGATCTTGCCTACCACCATTTTCTTAAATTTTGTGTTCAGGATTCAATACATACCATCCAAAGTGTCATTTCTCAGAACAAAATAAAAAGCATATATTATATCGGATGATTTTGACCTCACTTAACGCTTCCTTCTTTCCTCCGGCCACCGACAAGCCAACCAAACCTATTAATACTTAATACAGCTCTTTTGTTCAACAGTCAAAAGTTGCGTACTTTGCAAAGTGACGCTATGAACAAAAGATCAGCCGTAGAAAACAACTGAACTTTTTTTTTTTCTTAGTCCCTTCCACGGGGACCATACATTCTTGAAGATGCAAATTTTAATTTAAGCATGTGTTAGGTAATATCTAAAAGAAAAAAGGGTAATATCTAAAAAAATGCAACCATGATTCAAACGTTCTCTTTATTTTTATATACAATTTCTCATCATTGTATGAATTATGAAATATCTGGTTTGTGGTCAAAGAAGCTTGGATATATAATCTAGAGGTAGGTGGTATACAGACCCATGATGCATGCTCAAATGAGAAAAAGAAAAGAGGGTTGTCTGGCATGTGAACGCCTCCATTGAAGGGGATTACTCAAGGAAGGCAATAGTTGGTGAGGAAGATAGATCAGTCCCACTTGCCATCCATCAAGTATTGTATTTTTAATCTTTAGAGAGTTATAGATATACCCTTTTATATGAATCTATGGTTAAAGTTGAATCGAATCAGTCTTAAACACAATCAGAATGCATTGACTCAAGTGATGTGAATAATCTTTCATCACATGGTCCATGCAAATATTGTGCTGGACAATGTAAATAATCTCTTGACTGTATAATGGGTTTTTTTTTTTTTTTTTCAAAAATATCATCATGCATTACATATATACACTAATGGCAGAAGTTACACTGACCATGCACGCATATAAACAGATCTGAAAAATCAAGAGAATATTACACTGTGAAACTTGAAAAATACTTAAAAACAAACGTTTATAGCTAGTCCCATGACCATCTGTGTATGCTTTCCAATTGGATTGCTTACTTTTTTCGAATTTTTTAATGAACTGATTCAAACCCAAATGTTAATATAAGATTTGACAAGTAAATTTAAGGATTTCAATATGATAATCAAATCATAGAACGTTTATAGTCCTTTGACTATTTGTGTATAGCTCCCAGCGGGTAGCTCGGTGGTGACCTCATTGGGTCCTTGTGCAGAGGTTACCATTTCGACTTCCGTTTGTTACCGCGTGGTGCATCCTTAGGGTCGGTTCTGTACTACCGTAGGGGGACTAGTCTGACGTAAGTCAAGATATCCTCTGTGTCAACCAAAAAAAAAAAAAGACTATTTGTGTATATTTCAACCGCATGTCTTATTTTCTTCCAGATCTGCTAATGAATTAATTTAAACTCCAATGTTCATATTAGATTTGACAAGATAAATTTAAGGAATTTCAATCTGATAATCAAATCCTAGAAAATTTAGGTCAATAAAAGAAAGGGTTATTATCATTTTACCCCCTTAAACTATATCACTACTATCAGTTTACCCCCTAACGTTATCTTTTAGTCACTTTACCCCCATAAATAATTCAACTCAACATGTTAAGAAATTTTGGATAAAAATACCCTTTTAATTTATAGTATCACTACATTGTTATTATAACTTTATTCGTTTAGATTATAGTTATACAATCACTTTAGTTCCTAACATTATTTTCTAGGCATTTTACCTTATCATTAATCTAGCTAGTATGGTCAAAAAATTTTAAATATATTTACCCTTTTTTATATATAATTAAAAATAAAAAAGTTTGAATGGTTATTTTTCCTTTTTTTCACTTTAAGAGATAAAAAAATATAAAAATAAAAGAGTTTTCTCAAATTTCTTTTTTTCACATTTATTAATACTAGAAAAAGAAAAAAACAAAGAAAAGAAGGAGACAAAAAATTAGATTTTGCAAAAAAGAAAATAAAGAAAAGTCTAACATTATCGTATTACTTTAAGGTTGTCGAGATTAGGATTGGAATTTGATGGTAAACAAAAAAGTGAAATAATTTTAAAATAATAAAAGTATTTAATTCTTTTTTATTTGTAATTTTTTAAAAAAAGAATTGAGCTATCCCCCTCCCCTTCCCCCTCTCCATCTTTTAATTTTTTTTTTCAATATTAATAAGATTGACAAGAAGAAAGAAATTAATACTTTGACTTTTTTTTCTTGATACGAAAACGGAGAAGAGTCACTTTAAATTTTTATTATTTTTATTATGCAAAGAGAAGGGTATTTTCTTCTAATGTTTTTTATCTTGCTAAGTTAGTTTAATGGTAGGATAAATTGTCTAAAAAAATAACTCTAAGGGGTAAATTGATAGTAAGACTATATTTTATGGAGGTAAAGTGATAATAATTTTAAGGGTTAAACATGTCTTTTCACTTTAATTAACAAACTCCGTTAAGTTTGACCGTTAGTGTTGGAAGTACAGTGACTAAAAGATAACGTTAAGGGGAAATTAATAGTAGCACCAAATGTTAAGGAGGTAAAGTGATAATAACCCTAAAAGAAATATGAAAACTAACAATGCTAGACTGTGTAATGAGTTAATTTAGTAAATTTCTACATAAATCAGCAATGCTAGACTGTCATTTGTTAAGGTGTCTTTTAATGCAAGTAGAGTATATCCAAACTAGCTTGGTTTCTTAGAAGAAATTAGTACGTTCTCTATGCACACCGACCTCCAAAAATCAACGTGAACACCTAAAGTTTAAGGGGTAAAAGTTAAGGAGTTTGGCGCGCATTTTTTTGTGAATTCATTTGATTCATAGAAATGATAATAATGAAAACCTTTTTAAGGTAACACAAATTGATTTAGTACCTTATCTATAGGGATGGCAATGCCCGCCCCCGCCCCGCCACCCGCTTTAAAAAAATAAATATATAAAATATATAGAAGTATATAATTATATATATAATATATAATTTAATTAGTTACAAACTTATAATAATGATATTATTGGTTATATGTATTATATGATGTCTATTAGTATATATAATATAATTGATATTATTAATTATACTAATAATTATATATGTGTACTAATACAAATTATTAATTGGTTATACTAAATTTACTAATACATTTATACTAATCCCTAATTACATTTAATACAATAACATTTTTTTTCTTAAAAAAAGCACAAACACAAACATGAATTAGTGATTGTATTTGTACCAAAAGTGAAAACTTGACTACCTTAGTTATATTTATTTCATCATATTAGATTGTATTCAACTAATTGTTTGATTGTTTTTATAAGTTTCAATTGTAAATTACAATGAATAATAATTTGATGATGTGTTGATATTTTAGTACTTCATTATTTGCTAAAATTCAACCATAATAAAATTATATAACAAATTTTTATTAGTCCCGCGGGAGCACCCGCAAGAGAAGCGGGGCGAGGCGGGGATGGGGCGGGGGACGGGGGATGGGGTGGGGGCGGGGAGAGTTTGTAGGCAGCGGGGCGGAGGTTGGGGGAGGGGTCCCCCGCCCCAACCCCGCCCCGTTGCCATCCCTACTTATCTAAGATGAGTATGACATTTATTAATCCTACTAAACAGTAGCAGCTTTAGAAAAATCAGTTACATATCACAGAAAATTAAAGAAATTCCTTATTAATGAAGTAGTAAGAAATTTCCAAATTATGTTCCAGAAAAGAAATCAATGATTATACACAAACAAATTGATCAAGACAAGGAAGTCTTTTAATGACTACAACCCACTTTCCTTCTCAAATACTAAAGAAAGAAAGCTTAGAAAGGGAAGATTTCAATCATTGACTTCTAGATTTGTAGAACCATTGTATCAGTAATAATGTAATATGTCCAGTCGACAACAAAAAATGTATGGAGATGCAAAAGAAATCTATAATCACAAGTCATTTTTTCAGTTAGAAAATAGAAAAGAGGGGAGTAATTTGTCTAATCACATTTTCGTATATTTTCCCCGGTTGATTAAGATTCCCTTAATGTGCCTGGAGAATTTTCCCTATGATTGAGTGTGCCATATATTTTTAGGTAAATATTTTATGCACTATCAGCATTACACTAGCACGCATATTTCTGCATACTATATATATATAGTGAATTAATTTTATATATACTGATAATGTATACATTATTACGATTAGATGTATGATACATATATAAAATTTGAATTTTAAATTCAAATTCAAATTAGCTGTCATGCATACAGTAATGACATTGTATATGATGTCAGTGTATAAAGGATGATAATGTAACATGCATTTAGATTCGTATGTATATACACTGTTAGTGTAGAAAAAATTAATTTTATATTTTTATCCAAAACGGAAAAACATATCACCGGTGGTGATCGTGTATAATGTTAGTGTATAAAAAACTAATTTATATGAAATTTGGTCCTTAAATTCAAATTAGAATAATGTGACATGCAATAAGATTCGTATGTATATACATGATTAGTATAGAAAAAATTAATTTTATGTTTTTATCCAAAACAGAAAAACATATCGCCAGTGGTAATAGTGTATATATAGTTTATAAAAGATTAATTTATATAAAATTTGGTGTTCAAATTCTAACGTGACATGCATGTAGATCCATATGTATAAACATTTTTTGGGTAAAAAAGATTAATTTTATATTTTTACCCGTAACAGAAAAACATATCACGGGTGTTTATTAACCAAAACAGAAGAAAAAAGAAAGGACCGAAATTGAGGTGCCAGAAACGGGGGAAAGAGCCGAGTTGCAGGGCAATCGCTGTCGGAACTAGGAAGTACAAACTAAAATAACTGCTATGCTACAAGGTAAGTAGCACTGGCAGAGCCCTCTTGACCAAACATTCCATAAATATGGTCCATTTTCACTTTGCTTGCCTTAGCAGCAGCGACCAATGAAGTTAGCCGGTGTCACCCAAATCCACGGACCCACGCACTAGAACAGAGGGCAGTTGATGTGAGGAAGAAGAAAAAGAAGAATGGCTTCTGCAGCACCAGCACCATGCATTTTTTTCCAGATACTTCTAGAGTAATCTCCCAAACCCATAAATTTTTCAGTGTCTTTCTGCATTGTATCTTGTTCCATATGCTTTTCTTTCATTTTATTTTTTGAAAAAGATGTTATGCATTCTGGGATATTTGTAAATTTAAATATTTGTTCTTTCTCTTCCTGCCTCTGAGAGTGAAGAAAGACATAAGGAATAAAGGAAAGAACTGATATAGTAACTTTTAGATTGAATTTGGGAGAAGTCTTTGAGTTTGAGTTGACATGGAGTGTTAATTTGGAAGTATTAGATTACTCGGTAATTGGGCTTAAATGTGTCTTCAACTCTTCATGTAGTTATTTTACTTGGAGCCCACTATGGAATTTGATGGAACTTGGTGAATGATTATAAAGGTTAACTGAAGAGAGGCATCAAGATGGTTTATTATCTTGTATATTGGAGCAGAACTCACAGCGAGTGAGAGAATTGGATGGTGGATTTATTTAGGGATTAAAGATTACTTTGATTGAAAAAATAATTTTTGGTTTGTTGAATTAAAGATGATATAAGCAACTGTTGCTTTCAAGGTGTCTTCAACGAGTTGAGCACCCGGACTCCGGAAACATTGGAGGCCTTGGTGAATCTGTTTTCCTTAGCATCTTCTTTTCTTGTTTACATGCTACTTGCTTGCTTCAGAAGGTGGGGACGGATTTATTATGTCATGGACATACGTGCTTATATAGTGGAGTACAGAAATCAAAATATTTAAATGTTAGTAAACAAAAAGGTCGCAATAAAAGAGCTACTTGTTCAAACTTCACTTTACTAGGTTTCATTCTGTTCGAATAGTTTCACTAATTAACAGTTAATTTAGTTAGAAAATATTGGTTGATAGTGCATATGGCTTGCTTTCATGTAGCATGGCAGGATAAAATGTTGTTCTGGATGATTGTTAAGACTGAATTTTATTCTCACAGAGCTAAAAGGGGGGGAGGGGGAACTGTTGTGAATGGAAAAAGCTCAAACTTTTTGTTATGTTTGGTTGGAAATTAAGATGATGCATTTGCTCAAGGTGTCATGAATGCAAGAACTAGATTTTCAACTAGGTATTTGTGTTGATTAATTTGTATGGAATTTAATGGATGTTGTTTCAATCATGTTGCTCATTGTTTCCTACACTTCTAACAGTTCTTAGTTGCTTTCTGTTTTGCATCTATTATCCTAGCAGTTACTAATTCTAGATTTGAGATGACACATTTGCTCAAGGTTCCAAGAATGCAAGAACTAGGTTTTCAATTAGGTGTTTGTGTTGATTAATTTGGATGGAACTTAATGGATGTTGTTTAAATCATGTTGCTCATTGCTTTCTACACTTCTATCAGCTTTTAACTGTTGTCTGTTTTACACCTACTATCCTAGCAGTTAATAATTCTAGAGATTATGTTCTGAAAATATGATTAGTTTTGCTGGTTATTAGTCGACTTTTGTCCCACACAAGATTGAATCCACCTGATGCTTGTGCACCTAAAGCCGTATGTGAAGCAGGAGCTACCTGGTGTTTTGCTCTTCCGTTTAAAAGGACAGCTTTTTCCATATAACTTGAACTGGAAGGTTCCATGCTTCCCCTTTTTCAACTGTAACCTTGATCTCTTTGGAGTCAGAAGGCTGCATTCACAAGAGATTGTCAGGCAGAAAGGTACCAGTGATCTGCTTGTTTGTCCATTCCTTTTTGCAAGTGCTTTTTCCTTTTGTTTTGTCAAGGCCCTTTAGCGATCTGTTAGTTAACAAGACATGGTTGAATAATTTTCAAATTTAGTGAAAGGGTACTTGGGCCTTCAATTTATTCTTTTTCCTCAACTGTTATTGTTTGTAATGTGTATTTCAGTTTTTATCTCATATTCTTGTTAAAATCACTCTTCATTATCTCCTTTTATTGTTTTTGTTCATTATTGTGGGTACATATTAGATCTTGAAGCATAAACAGCATGAATTCCTTGCTTGTGCTTTGTTTACATGTAAGGCAAATTTATATGAAGCCGATTGGAGTTAATTATGATTTAAGTCTTTTTCTTTCAATGTGTTCTATGTAATCACTAAGTGAAATGCTTCTGTGGCTTCATGTCTTAGATTCAAGCTCTAGAAAGATGTCAACTTGGGCTGTGAAGACCATGGATATGGATGTAACCACAGAAGAAGACTCAGTAGCGTTAAGGCTTTCACCTGCTTATGAGACTGCCATGGAAGCACTTTCTTCTCTCATCACCAGGCAAAAACGTGGAGGTGCATCAAAGATAGGTGGCAAATACAAGAAATTGGACAGAATGTTGATGTACATCAAGGTTAGTGTTTTCTCTTTTTGTTCATGAAGTAATGCTACATTGCTTAACTTCTTAATGTTGCATAAGTTACTAATCATTTAAAAGGTTCTTTTGAAACTATCTGCTATTCTATATTTCTGATGCCACTCTAAAAGTGTCAGGTTCTGCTAGTAATACGGAATTGGTTTTCTAGCAGGATCCAAATTATTTGTTTAACATTAATACTGGTTCCTTTAGTTCCACACAGTATAGTTGAAGAATTCGTTATGGCTTCTGTTACCACTCATTTTCATTTATTTAATTCTAGTTCTGTTAGTGAAGTGCTCCATAGTAAAATTGGAGTCTAACGGATACTCAATTTTTTGTCCTGAACCTCTCTTGGAAGTTGGGACATATGGAATCTAAGATCATGCATAATTTAAAGTAATAGATTGTCAAAGGAGAGCAACAGAAGCCATTTTAGGAAAATCTAATGTTTATCTGTCTAAAAAACTTTGGTGCATAATATAGAAACCATGTGATGTAGAACAGGAAAGAGGTATAAAGTTCGCCCAATAACTTTAAATGATTGAGGGTTCAATGGCCAAAACTTTTTAATCAACTTCTTCTTTGGTTTGGCCCTTCCGTCTTGTTTTCCCCAATCTGAACTGTTTACGGCTTTCTTTGGATATAAACGACAATGAAAATAACTTCTGCTGTTTTTTTTCTAACTAGAAATAGTAACTGAATATGACTAACTCACACAAAATGCAGAAAAATGAAGGATAGTACAAGTCAGATTTACTGCTAACCAATTACAGACAAAGAAAGAACAACTACCGTTGCTTTTTCCTTCAAAAAGTAATTAAATGTGCTGATTTTTTGGTTTGTGGTAGGCCTTCAGTGCACCTTTAATTTTTTGTGAAAGCAATGAGCTTATATTACTACATTCTTCTTGTAAATTTTTATGGCTTTTATTACCATTTGCACATCTTCAATGAAAATGCATGCCTTTACAAATGGCTCTAGAGTTTTCGCAGTCACTCATTGCTTTCTATTTTTCTTTCACGTAAAATGTGAATGCAGAAAACTATAAAGATATATTTTTTCTTGCAGATTTTAGGCTTGGAAGGACATCTTGGTGGCCTTAAAATCATCCATGTTGCTGGAACTAAGGGAAAGGTACATTCAGCTTAGCTATAAGTTGAGACGTGCTTTGATAAGTTAATATCTCCTTTGCTAGCAGTACTCAGGTTAGCATGATGAACATCATTATTTTTTGGATTTTTAAGTCCCACTGTATTGGCGGATTTGTTCAAGATTAGTGTGGATGCAGTGTTGCTCACATGGTACACTGAAGGAATTAAAATATGGGTAAATTACATTGTACCCCTGTGGTTTAGCACTTTTCCACATAACCCTCCTATGCTTTCAAAAACTATACATAACCCCCTCATCGTTTGGATTAAAGTGTCAAAGTGACAAAAATAGTCCTCTGTAATGGAACCAATTGAAATGTCGAAATTATCCTCATTTAGAAACTAAAATGAGTGAAGTGGTCAAGATATATAAACATAGTGTGCATGACACTTTAGCCCCTTATGGTTTAGTGTTTTTCCACATAAAACCCTTATGGTTTTTAAAATCTATACATTACCCCCCATGTGGTTAACAAATAATTTCCATCTTAACATAGGGGTACTTTTGACATTTTAGTTGACTCCATTATGGAATTCAAATTCCGTCACTTTGACACTTGAGTCCAAACCATGGCACTAAATCACGGGGGGGTTAAAGTGTAACTTACCCTTAAAATATTTAACAAAGTTGCTCACATGGAGTCTTTATCTATTGTTGATTCCATAAGTTTGGCAAGCTGAGGCTACTTATTCCTAAGTTGGCTTCTTGAGTGGCAAGATACTGCCTATTTGACAAATTTAATGTGCTGACTATTCTTGTTTAGGTATATTGATTTGTCTTTTAGCTACTAAGAAGTGAGTCAAACCACTATGAAAGTAAAAAGTGAGGATAGTTTAGATTGATTTTAAACCTTTTGTGTTGCTGCTGATACAGTACATAACTGAGCAATGACTTCTCTTAAATATCTTAAAGAAATTAGTACACATCCATCCATATGGATTTATCTCTTCGCAAAACTATTTGACATGGCATTTTTCTTCCAAATTTGCATCTATTAGCTAAATTTCTACTATGTTCAGTACCGATGCTTGTAGTATTGCTTGGGTGTTTATTACGTTTGGAAGAAGTTCTGTCTCTGTATATTGTAAACGTTAGGTACCAGAGATTCTGCCTTACTACCCATGTAAGTTGCAAGCTTTTTTTTTTCAGTTGTGAATGGGGGATATTTATCCGTCTCTTCTCATTTCTAGTTCTATGTTATCTTGCAATGCAAATCTTATCCAGGGTTCAACATGCGCATTTTGTGAGGCTATACTGCGAGAGTGTGGGTTCAGAACTGGACTTTTTACTTCTCCACACTTGATTGATGTTAGAGAGAGATTCCGTGTCAACGGGTGAGAAATTACATGCATGACCTCTGATGAAATTTATACTCCTACTTGAAATTATTGTAGAAGACATTTGCTAAAAGCATTTTTGCGGTAGTGATCCGTTTAATGTTCTGTAGACAGGTGAATATTGGTATATATTTTTCCCTTAATATACCAATGTCAAAAAGTTTATGAAGATTTCTGTTAAAGATCTAAACATCCATGGTTGTTGTACATATTCTGGGATATTAATATTCTTGGCTATGTGCATGATGACAACTGCATCAAATGAATTTTGGGTATCTGCTTAATAAAAGAACATTTGAATCCACAGCATGGAAGGTAAAGTTCATATGTCTTACAAATTAGGTTGGAGAACAATATTTCAGATTATAAACGTCAATCTCAAGATATACACAAAATTGTTCTTAGGAAAAATATTGGTGAACCATTAAGTACACAGATGTCCGCGCACATATCTCTATAAAAACTGCAAATGTGCGTGTATAAAACAAAATTGCATGCAGCCAATAGGTGCAGAATATCTTCACCAAAACCTGGTAGTGAAGCAAAAGCTTATCAAGAAATATGTAGTGGGGATATATACTAGGACCTTTACATTAAAACTGCTGTGTCAAACAGATGTTTTCGTATGAAAGAACTAAGCTTCTTACTTTATCATTTTACTACACTACTTCAGCTAGTCAGTAAATGCTTTTTATGATGATAACACCATTTTGCCATATTTTGAAGGAGATTACCTCTCCTTTTATAATTGTGTTGCTCTTCATTCTACGACTACTAGTCAAACTGTCTTTGAATTGATCTGTAGGTTGGTGAACTATTAAGTACACAGATGCTGACACACATATCTTTATAAGAATCTGCAAATATGCATGTATACATAAAAAATGCATGTAGCCTGTAGGTGCAGAATATCTCCCCCGACACCTGTGTCAGAAATATGTTTTCATATGCGATAACTAAGCTTCTTTCTTTTTGTTTTTACTACATCACTTCAGCTATCTGATAATGCTTTTTATGGCGATAGCACCATTGTGCCGTAACTTCAAGCAGAAAACCTTTTCTTTCATAATTATGTGGATCTTCATTGTAATACTACTACTCAGTAATGTCTTTGCATGGGTCTGTAGGTTGGACATCACAGAAGATAAATTTCTATTGCATTTTTGGGATTGCTGGCACCGACTAAAGGTAAGGTATCCGTACATCTTTTTATGAACTGAAATTCTTTAATGATCCTTCTATTCTATTAGTTCAACCATTGGGAGCACCTCATAGCATTTTTGGGGCATTCGATCATTTCTGTATGATCTGCTGAGCGCACTAAAGTTCCAATGGTTTCTTTAGAGATCCTCCTATTCAACTATCTTATGTTTCTTTTTATGAATGTCCTTATTCACAAAAACAGTTTTTGAAGTGCATGGTTTTGTATTTTCATGCAATTGGGGTTATCAATGCCTTACGTGGTAATAAAATCAAGTACGGTATAAATCCAGATTCTCAATAGGTCTGTTTAACTTCCAAGTCTAAAGTGAATACATTGAAATGTTGTTGGGGATGTCTGATTGCAAATTTCCTGCCTCTCATACAAACATGGCAAAAATTATGTGACTTTTGTGATTTTTCATATTTGTTGATATGGACTTCTTATTACTATTTTCCTGTTTCTAATACAAACATGATAAAGTGTGAGATTTTTGTTGATTTTCAGTTTTTTTTCATGTGGTAGGAAAATCATGAATAATGATGATCCTTGTTAAAAATAAACTAGGCAACAAGTTCGGGTTGTTAGAAATTTAAAGAATGAATCGGCTTCATTGTTGAAGCTTGACCTGCAGGAAAACCTTACAGAGGATTTGCCCATGCCTCCATTGTTCCAATTCCTCACGGTTATGGCATTTAAGATTTTTGTAGAAGAAAAGGTAAGATTTCAAGTTGCTAACATCATTCAGTATGTCCTGTGAGTGAGTTTGAAGGATTTGTTCTATTTCCAGGTAGATGTTGCTATTATTGAAGTTGGTCTTGGAGGGAAGAAGGATTCGACAAATGTGGTAACGCATCTTCTGACAAACTTGCTGTGCTGATGCTTTTGTCTGCTATCTGATTTTCTATTTGTGTTGCTTTCTAATTAGTATGTTTACAGAATCACCTAAAAAGAACATTGACAATTTGTACCAACGTATAATCGACACATGATCATTTTGTGCTGGCAAGAATACAATATCAAATGTAGTAAGAAAAGGTACTTAATACTATGCAGATCAAGGAACCTGTTGTCTGTGGCATTGCTTCTCTGGGTATGGATCACATGGAAGCATTGGGTGCGTCCTTCTGATTAGAATTTATGCTTTATTGTCATTCATTTGTCTTGCCTGTCTGATTTATTTGATGTGTTGCCCGATGATGGTATAATCTCTGTTTATGATCTTAGAGAAAGCATCTGGCCTGTTAGTATTCTCTTTTGTTCTTTCACTAGTCTCTCACCTGCTAGTACATGATACGTTGAACTTGATTTTGCTCTAGGCTTCCTTTATTCTACCTTTTGTGGTGATTGAAAGTTGCATCAGGTGAATGATAGATGCAAAAGTATGTAAAACTTATGTATTTGCCATTAAAATATGCAGGAGATACACTTGCTGAGATTGCATCTCATAAGGCAGGAATTTTCAAGGTTCAGTTTTCTGTCCTATACTTGAAATGCTAGCACAGTGGCTTTCCTTGTTATGGATTATCTATGGCAAAAATTGTTTGAACCAAATTGGCAGTTTTCATTTTTAAGTTTTTTCTGAATTGGATTGATGATATCTTACCTGCTTCTGAAGCCTCAAGTCCCTTCATTCACTGTACCACAACGCTCTGAGGCAATGGATGTTCTTCGTGAGAGGGCCAATGAACTGATGGTAATGTGCATGTTTCTGTTAATTCTTTCTGGAGTGATTGCACTGTTACATGAACTCAAGGTTTCACTTATTTTTACTAGCCATTATTTCTCAGAACAAGATTTTGTCAATACTTCATGTAAGAGGCTGTGCAAAGAGTTGCTAATATGTTTTCTCTGCCTTTTCTTTGTTATGTGGTAAGTAGAACTAATATGTTTTCTCTGCCTTTTCTTTATTATGTGGTAAGTAGAAAGTAAATCATCCAAAGAGTATATGTCGCAAAGCACTGCATTACAAATTGCTTCTCCTCCTGTCTGTGTTTGTCTATGCCTATAAAGAATTAAATGTAGAAGCATAACACATCTGCAAAGAACCAGTATTTATATCCTACATTTGGGGTATTATTGATTTTGTTTTGCTTTTTGCAGATTCCTCTGGAAGTTGTTGCACCAATTGATTGCAAATGGTTAGATGGAATAAAGCTAAGCTTGTCTGGTGATCACCAGTATTCCAATGCTGCACTTGCTGCCTCTCTTTGTAAAAGCTGGATTCGAAGTACAGGAAACTGGGAAAAGCTGTTCCAACATGTTAGTTAAATTCTGCATACCCCTTTCCATTGATTTGAAACTCTGTTTACAACCACTCTTGCATTAACTAGTATCTGACATCATATGGAGTCATTTTTCTTATAATGCGGTAACAACCTTTTGATGCCCTTTCTCTTATTCCGAGAGTTTTCTCTCAAATTAAGGAATTGTGGAAGGTGCAGATGATATGTGATGACTGTATTATTAATTACTCTACATCATAGAATTGACACTTTCAGCTTGAATGCTCACTATATGAGAGGTTATCATTTGTGGACATTGGGAGGAGGCATTGTTTGGGAAAACATCCGAAATGTGACCATTTTGATGCAGCTTTCCCATTTTCAAAACCTACACTTTTAAGAATCTCTTATTGAAAAGAAAGCACTCAAATACCAAGTGGTCAGAGAGAGGAAATCTGGTGTTAGATGATTCCATAATAAATTGATTGAAATACCATAAGATGGATACTTTCCAGTATGGCTCCTTAAATTTACCAGAGCTGGAGGAAGAAGTCAGGGAAAGTAGATGGCTAGGATAGGTTGTTTCAACAGTTCCATATTTATACGAACTGCTTAAAGTCTTTATTCTTCAAGAACGATACAACAACTTGTATGTTGTTTGAATGTTTGATGCATTTCATTTCTACTTGATCAAGAAAAACTGCCTGACATTTCTTTTAGCAGCTTTTTTGGTGAAAAGTTGTGGGTAGCTCTTCTTTTTGTTGCTGGTACATTTAGTTGCAAGATTTTGTTTTGTTGCCTGTGCATTTAAGATGTTACTCTGAAATCAGGACGACAAAGACAGTTTACCAGAGCCATTTATAAGGGGTCTTTCAACTGCACGCCTCTTTGGAAGGGCTCAGATTGTTCATGACTCTTCTTCAAACTCTTCTACTGTGTCCATGGTGAATGGAGCAGCTTCAGGAGACCTGACCTTCTACTTAGATGGAGCTCACAGTCCTGAAAGCTTGGAAGCCTGTGGGAGATGGTTTGCCACTGTTGTGAAAGATGACAAGAATTTATTATCTCTAGATTCCTGTCTCAAGACTGGAATTGGGGAGGAAGTCTCTGAAAACGGTTTTGTGTATACTGGAAGCAAAGAATCAAACAAGATATCAAAGCGGGTAATTTTTCATGAAGAGTGACATGCAGTGTTTTTGCTGACATATTTCTTTTCATTCCTGTTGTTGAGCTTTATGACTCCAGATCTCTTCTAACCTTAGTTTCCGGATAATTGAGATTATTTTTATGCACCTTCAACCCAGATTCAAGAAAAGTAATGCTTCGTTATTTCAGATTCTTTTGTTCAATTGCATGGATGTGAGAGATCCTCAGATTCTTCTACCACAGCTTGTGAATACCTGTGCTACCTTAGGTACTGAAGACCTCAAGTCTTTCTGGCTTCTTGTGTATTTTAATTGTTTGCATCTGTTGTTTTCCTGTTACCTGCTTGAGAAACTTAGGCCCCTCTTAAATAGAAGCAATTTGCTACCTGAACTTTCACAACCTATTTCAGTTTCTCCAATTTCATGTAACCTTTACCGAAGAATACTTAGCACCATTACTTTTAAGTGACTAGTTTCATTGTGACTGAAGCATCTAGGTCGAGGTCCTTCCAGTTTGTTTCAGCTTAGAAATTTATGAGTTGATATAATTGCTTTCACAAGATGAAATTTTAGTTGCCAATGTAAATTTCGTCGTTTAAGTGAAAAACTTGAAATGTTCCCAAGATCCTAAATCAATTATATTGAAAAGCCATCTTTTTAAAATTTTTGATGAATTTAACAGTCAGTTTCTGTTCTTCAATTTGGTAATAGCTTTTCCGTAGGCTAATCAAATGGAGATTAATCCTGTTTAGCATGGATGTCCCCAAGTTTTTTAGTCTTTACATTTGTGTACCAGCATAAGACAAAGTTATTCTGTTCCTAGTAGAAATCTTCATTGTATTTGCCCATGTCTTGTAATTTCTGTCTGTCTTTAACTTTGCACCTTTATTCATAATGAATACAAATTTCTGCTCTACACCATTTCAGCAATTAATTGAGTTATGATGGATGTCACTTCGTTTTTATTTTTCAGGCACACATTTCTCAAAAGCTATTTTTGTCCCGAGTATCTCAACATATAACAAGGTCACTTCTGGTGCCTCAGCTGTTCCCTTTCATTTACCTGCAAAGGACTTGACATGGCAATTTAACCTTCAGAGGATATGGGAAAATATTTTACATGGAAAAGGTAACTTCTGCTCATAAAATGCGTGTCTAATAGTTTGTCATTGTTTTCTTTCTTGCCGCTGGCAAGTAAGAGGAGGGAGGGAGGAGGATGGCAGAGGTTTGCAAAGCTTTTACTTAAGTTCCTGCATGGTGTCAAGCCTGGTTTGCTATTATAGGTTAAGGCTAAAACTTGTACGTTATCCAGTTGATATTGGCTCTAATGCTTCCTGCCTTTCCCGACCGCCAGATCAATATTGGATAGAGTGTTGAAATGTGAAATTGTCTATCTTTGTTTGCCTTCCTTTCGTTTGTTTGTGGAATTGAAACTTGATGTTGCTACCCATGCCTCATGGGAAGTTTTTATCAAACTTCTTTCAAAATAACATAACCAAGACAAACAGTTGAATTGGGGAATTAAATTCAACACAATATAGCACTTACACTACTCTAAAACCCAATTCCCTAGTCTGAAGTCCTAGATTGTAGATGTCTTGATTTGAGTTAACAAACAATGCAACATGTTGTTCAGTCATGAAGAAAGAGAACTTTCTAATATCATTAATAAGTAGCTGTAAAAATTCTGATGTCATAAAAGGGCCAAAAAAAGATACAAAAAGCAACATCATAAGATGTCAACCAAAACTGTTAAAACTGCTCCACTACAAAGCTGTTGAAGACTTAAAAAGTGTATATTGTTTCTATGTGTAGAAGGCAATCTTTGTAGAATTTGGATAGTTAACCTGCCATATCGTCCCTGTTTTTGGTTTTAGGGTAGAACTGATGACCTATGGCTGAATCCATGCCAGTTTTAAGATTTGAGTTTCTTAACCTTGTATTTCATCACGTGCTTGATTAGACCATTTCCCATGTCCACTGTAAAATCCACCCTATCTATTTCCTCACCCCTTCACAGCACCAGCACATGAGCTTCTGTTCTTCAAATACTAGGTTGAAGAAAGTTCAATTGTATAACTGGAAGTACATAAAGGTTATTCAATGTGACATTATTTGGTGCTCTTTTCTGGTTTTTTTTTTTCTTCTTATGGGAAATCTGGGTATCTGAGGTAAAGCTTTTGAACATGATTTTGTCTTGATGATTTGCGCATTAATGTACATTTACCTCTGGCCATGCAGGTTTTCCTGAGAAGCCTCTTAAGAAGGAAAATCCTGCTTGTTTTCCACCAAATAATTTCCTTTATGAGGATATTTCTCATTGCAAACCTGCAGATGGAAGTTTTGCATGCAGTACGGTGGTTTCTTCACTGCCACAGACAATAAAGTGGTTGAGGGACTGTGTTAAAGAAAATCCACGTCTTAGGATTCAGGTACCTGACAAGCATAAAATGTGATTTTACTCGTATTGTCATGAATCCTTTTTTATGGAACTTTTGTCGTCCTGAGCATTTATAAGTTACATTTAGATCAACTCTCCTGGTATTGGAGTTTCTAATTATCGAAAACACAAATATGATGCTGGAGTTCTTATACTCGCTTCCCCTACTCATGAATTTCATCCCAAACATTTTTATCAAACAATACGATAGGACCTGTAATTCTTTCCCGAAAAGTAGTTGGTTTTTGGTTTTCTTCTTCTTTTTTTTTTTTTCTGGTTCCCATTTTCAATTCATGAGAGAATTTGGATTTATATACTATATCAATCTTATTCATTTACTTCAAAATCATCTGCAACTTTTCTGATCAGTTTGATGTGCAATTTGTGTCTGTAGGTTCTTGTCACTGGTTCAATTCATTTGGTTGGGGACGTATTAAAGCTAATAAACAGGTGACTTTAACTCAGTAATGGGAAGCATTTCAGTATGAGAATATTCAAAAGATTCATTTTGCTCCATGACAAAAATCTCTTGATTTGTGAGAAGCAACATATTTGTTTTCAACAGAAGCAGAGGACTATGATTAGTGACCACGTTTTTAGAGGTTACTTTTCTAGTTTCATTGGTAACTATTCAAGTTGTATTTGTTCAAGAAACCTTGACGAAAGTATCAGTACATTCTTGGCTGGCAGTATATTGATTGTTGAACCCTGCATGGGATTAGAGAGCTAAAGGATCAAACAACTTATGCTACTTCCATATGCTTAGGGAATAGGTCATCTCTAAATTTGACTAAAAAGATGAAAAGACATTTTCCCTCGTTTGCTGAATTGCTTTTTCCCTTTTTTATGGATGGCTTCGAGGTTTTGTGTGCACGATACAAACACGACACGATATGTTGACAGCTCTAAGAGTTTGTGATTGCATCTAAGTGGTTGTATGCCGATTCATATCGGACCACATTAGCTAGATTCGATCAAGACCATTTATTTCAATTTTATTGATTTCCAAATGAACGGTCCAAAGGTTCATTCTCCACCAGCTTCTTAAAAAAAATCCAGATGAATACGTGGTGCATCCGTTTGGTCCGATAGCAGTTCAGTTCCCACAGGTCCCTTTAGACTCAGTTGGATCTCTCCCTTATATTAGAATAATGTAGGATATTATATATAAGAAGTGCCGATTGACAAAAAAAAAAAAAAGATTCATTCTCGACCATTAATAGCGTGTAGTTCATTCTCGACCCTCTTTCAATGTATCAGAATATATACTACCAAAAAATGTGTTGTGAGAGTTGCCTAATAAGTAAGGTAGAAGCAAAATTGAATTGCCTTGATAGGAATTTAACCATTTCTTTGTTATAATGGTTGGAAATATTTTTGGTCTTCTTATGGTACATCATCCAGTCATCCCACAATCTGGAGAATGATAGCACTGCCTTGAGGGAATATGTATCTAACCTGTTTGGAAAAGTAGGACTTTAATGGACAACTAATTGTTCTCCAAGAAATACTTTTCTGCTACCATCAAATTCTTATTTAAAAGTTAGTACTGAAAATAAGGATAATTAAACCTTGGGGTCCATAAAACATCTAGTACACCCCTTTTGATTTTTGGAAAAAGAAAATTCTTGTAGGCCCTTTCTATTACTTTTTCCTCAATCCCATCTTTATTGTAAAGGACAAAATAGCCATAAAAAATAAGCTAAATCAAACTTTGAGTTGAAAGTACTTTCTTAATCTTTATTCGTGATTAATTTTCACCTTTTGTACCTTTGATTGATTAAGTTTACCACTTTTTTTTTTATTTCTTTCTTTTCCATTTCACATTCGACATTTTTGTTGTAATTTGTGATTAAAAACCAACTAGTTTGAGGTCTTTCTTGCAAATCGCTTATTTTGATCAATGTCTTTAAATTCCAAATCTATCACTTTTCATTTTTCTTAGATTCTTGTATTTCATTTTACTACTAGCAGTGAGATATATCTTGCTGTAGACTGCTAAATGTTTGTGGATCCAACGCGTTTCTCTTCAAAAAAATGTTTGGAATCTTAAAATTAATGCTCGTATTAAGCGTTCAAGTTTTTTTTTTTTTCAAAGGAACTTGTTGTATCAATTTCATTGAGATAGGATTTGGTAGTCATCTTTATTTTTGTATTATTCCATTTCTATAATTTGGAAAAGTAAGAAAAAGAGCAATTTTAGAAATTAAATATAATAGGTTAAAATGGTCTTTTTAATGGATTTACTCGATCAAAAGCCACCAAGTGAGTGACAAAAGAAGCCTAAATATTTCTAAAAACCAATCGGGAACTAATACCAATTTCTGGGGTGGTATGGAAGAATGGAGTGTAAATGAGAGGTTCCGAGTTCAAGACCTTCCACTTATATTAAAAAAAATTAAATACTTCATTTGAATTACATACTTCGTGTTGTGTACTTTTCTAGTCTAAAATCAAAACTCAACAAAAACAATTAGAATTTTTTTTTGTCGCATTCCATCACTATTCTTTCCTTTCCATGCTAATCAACCACCACTGTCCTCTGTATATCAAGGGGGAGGTTCCTTCGTACCATTTCCACCTCTCTATGTTTCACAGGACATTCTATTTTTTTTTTTTTCTCACACGATCTCTCTATTATTGTTTTTCCACATGAGATTCATTGAAATACTTCTTAAACAACTTTTAGATATTCGTTTCTTATCTCAAAGCAAAAAATTTAGAAACATCATCGGATAATAGGTATCTTGTCTTGAAAAGATTTTAATACAGCAGGAGAATTCATTTCTACTCTAGGAAAAATTTCAAAAACACTAGGAAAAAGTTGGACAACAAACAAGAAACAAAAAAGAAAAGGGGGTTTCTATTAGTAGAAAATTTTAAAAAACAATAAGAACAAAGTTGAATGACAAAAAGATGAAAAAAAAAATAAAGAAAGAAGAGTTGCAGCAAGAAATAGTAGTAATTACCTAAACGACACAACGGGTCTTTTTTCAGTTGTTTTCGTTCTGGTTTCTATCTGCTTCAAAGTTCAGTTTCAACGCGTTTCTCCATCTCATCTCCTTCTCTCTCACAGACCACACACACTAGCTCTCTCTGTTTCTCTCTTTCTGAAACCTCTGATATAACTTATGACTATAAAGGCATGTACAAAGCATTCAATAGCTCTTAATTAATGAAAATAAAAATAAGCCAATAGGAAAAGTTTTCACTTTTGTATAGTTTTTTTCTTCGAATTTCAATGGCGGGTCTTCATGCAACGCTAAGACCCGCTTCTTCTTCGTCGTCTGTATCCTCAACATCGTCACATTCCCGCCTTTTACTATTTCTCTCGGTCCTCTTAATCTCTCTCGCCACCTTTGCTTTTCTTATTCAATGGCGTGGCGGGTTACCCGACCCGATTACCCGATGGCCTCATGAAAATGACCCTCTTGGGTTCCTGGCCATGGACCTTGCCGGACCCGGTCGATCCTCGTCCTCCTCTGATGCATGTGCCGATGTTCTTGGCCAAAGCGGCGTGGCATCGTTCACATATTATAGGAACTGGAATTTCAGTTTTGGACCCGGATCCGGATCCAAAAAGGGGCCTAAGGTTCGTAAAAATTCTCTCGTCAAGAGTGGTTTTTGTTTTCCTTTCTTACATGCGTTTAATGCTAAGAGCTTTTCATTTTTTTTTCTGGGAGTTTTTTTTTTGTGTGTAATTCGTAATTATGTATGAAAATGAATTATTTACGTGCATGCGTTTGCATGCAGATGCTGAACGCGATGTAAGAAACATTGATGAATAAGTTATTAAGTATCTTTCATCCTTCTCCGTTCAAATTTACGAGGGTTTTTTTTTGTTTCTGTTATCTTGTCTTTATGTACTTTGTAGAATAAAACAATTCATTCCTGGATAAAAGTGTTTTCTTTCGCTCTACATGGTCCAAGTTTGTTGAGAAATTACATATTTGTCTTCGATATATGGAATAACTCTGTGGTTCTATACATGCTTTATTGCTCTTGAATTTTGGGAAATCAAGAATCGTAGGTAATTGTTTGATGCTTGATGCCTAAAGGAGGACAAAAAAGGTTAAGGTTTGGGTCCAAGATCATTCTTTTTTTATGCTGAGAAGAACTGATAAAGAATTGTGGAAAAATTTCCTTTGGTTTGTGAAGGTTTTGAGGGCAAAGTACGAGAAAAAGATACTGCTCATAAGCATTTCTTTTTTACATATCAATATAATTATGGAATCTAGATGCCTTTTTAAAGGGTCTTCTAGATGTTATTCTGTCTTAATAAGTTGGAAAGGCAATATTTATGTGAAAGTTCTTGCAGCTAGTCTTATACGTTTCATTCGCCATGAATTTCTCAGCTTACAAAGAAATCAAATAAAGAGTTTGATATACAGTCTTTTCCGTTTCCTTTTACTTTTTGGCTTTGAGCTCAAACCGAAATGTAGTTCATTAGATCCTACACTATTTGATCCGGTCCAGTAGATTTGTAGTATTAAGTAGAAAGAATGCGTCCATTTGGTCAACAAATTTTGCTGGTGGAATACTGTGAAAATGGGAACTTAATTAAGGACAAAGGGTGAGTTAACAAGTGAAATTATTCTCAACAAAACTGATACAGATGTGCTAGCACGAAAGAGAAGCAAATTTTAAAATGAAAATATACCTAAGCATGTTGAGTGTACGGTTGTTGTGCAAATCATAAAAATCATGTCAGTCATTTGAGTAGTTGAAGTGATAATTTCAAGATCCAAAGAGCAATAGTAAATATAGTTACAACATCGGCCACATCTCTAAGAGGTTAAAAGAAGAGAAAAGTATTGAAGACAGTGCAGCAATGTTAAGGAGATTAAAACAGGTGCACTAGTTTGTACAAATAACAAAATCAGAGGATTGATCCAGGGAATAACTAAGGAAGGAAGCATAAGTACTTATGGATTAGAGTGGGAGAAACGCAATTAGATTTTTCCAGTTGATTTGGTATAAGTTCTTTAGGATATTCATTCCTAATAAAGGCATTATGCCTCCTTTGAAATCTTTTTCTGTTTTTTAAGTTTGTTACGTTTTGCCTCCTTGAAGGAGCACAAGAGTATGTATTAAGTTTCCTCTTTTGTTTTTTGTTTTTTGTTTTTCCAGATTGCACATTTAACTTTTTGCAAGGACTCTTTGCTCTCTGTGTAGCTCACAGCTGTTTATTGCCTCATAGGACTTGGATCAATAAGCACTTATTGATGGAACGTTGTTTTTATGTTAGATATGTATCACAACAAGCACTTCTGCTGGCTTAGAGCAGACACTGCCATGGATATATTATCATAAGGTTTTAGGGATAACAAACTTTTTCATGTTTGTGGAGAGGAAAGCTGCATCCAAAAATGTATCAAAAGTTTTAGAGTTCATTCCAGTGAGTATCAAGACCTAACTTTTTATCGATCTTAAAATTCCATTTTGCTTAGACTGATATTGGGTTTCATTTGAAATTTTAAATAGTTTTTTGCTGAAATACAGTGGTACGATTTTCCAGGGAGTAAAAGTTATATATAGGACAAGAGAACTAGAAGAAGAACAAGCTAAAAGGTCAGTCTTTCTGCCCGCTGATCATGTTTCCATAACTTGCCTGCTATTGTTGACCCAGTGGTTGCCATTCAGTGCTCTGCTCACATCATTTACTTGCAGATAAATGATTCGAGTTAGTAAATATCTGGTTGTCATTTTGTCTCATTAAGATTTTTCACAAGTTCATAGTTTCACATTAAATTTCTTCACAGCTTGAAGTTTATGTTGTTGTTTTGAATGCTAGACAACCTGACACATTGAGATCTTTTATGGTTATTCCCTTGTCAATGTAATGGAATCAGAAATTGGGTTCTCTGTCATGACATAGTCAAGGTACAGTAACTCATGAATTGAATTGGAGTTGCAAGGAAGCACCTTTCTAGTTTTCTAGATTCATTGTTCAGTGCACAATTTAAAGGCAATTAAGTTGGCTGAACAGCTATTGGGCAATGAAGTTGCTTGGAGAAGCAAGGATAAGTTAAAAGAGTAATACAATGTGGCCATGATGGTGCAATATTCTTGAATCTTCGCCCCTCCTCCCTTAATTTAGTAATTTTAATTCTCCTGTTTCATGTCCTGAACTACTGTCCTTTAAATTTGATGAATTTTCATTTTCTGAGATTTAGTTTTATAGTTGATTCTACATGAGAAAAGTTCTCTTCTTTTTCCTTCAAGACCTCTACAAGCGATTGCTGCAATTTTGTTGATCTGAATTTTGATGCTGCAGCCGTATATGGAATGAATCTTGGCTGGCAAACTTCTTCTATAAGCCATGCAATTATGAGTTATTTGTAAAGCAAACGCTTAACATGGAAATGGCTATCGTCATGGCAAGAGTATGACTTTTCATTTAAGTAAATTAATAATAGCAGCTTTAGTTGTTGTTCTGCGTCCTTCTGTCTTTGTTGCCTCATCGTATTGGTAACTTGCTCAGGAAGCTGGTATGGATTGGATTATACATCTTGATACTGATGAGTTGATATATCCTGCCGGCACCAGCCATTACTCTGTTCAACAGCTGCTGTCAGAAGTACCTGAAGATGTAGATATGGTAGTTTTTCCTAATTATGTAAGTGAGCTTCTTTCAATTGTGGATTTTTCTGGTCTTTAAAAGTTGCTAGAATAGCATAGGAATGGAATGATAGTCTCTTGTATCATTAAGGTTATACTTAAACAAAATGCAATGCTCTTTTTCTTCAGGAGAGTAGCATTGAACGGGATGATATAAAGGAGCCCTTCAGTGAAGTAAGATTTCTTCATCTCTTGCCCTTAAGTTCACTTGTGGATTTGGCAATTGCACTTTCAGAATATCCTAATGATGCAGTTTCAGCAACAAATTCCTTTGTTTCAAGTCAGAATTTCTGTGTCACAACAAACACAAACAAAAATGGAGCACGCCTTACAATTCTAATCATTCTGCATTTAGTTCTAGAGATTCTCGTGCCCAGAAGTTATGACCTTAGTTCAAATGCTTCTGTTCAGTCTTATGACTGTTATTTTGGTTAAAGGATATATACCTTGATAAAATCCTTAGTGTCTCAATCTTATAAATAGGTGATGATGATGGAAATCTTATAAAGATCGGTATCTTTTCAAACTATTGGGATGCCTTTTCATTTTCTATATTGCTAGAAAATTGCAGGCCTCAGATATTCTTTCTGAGCTGAATCCCCAGGTTCAAGGAAAAGGACGTAAAAAATGGTTATTATCATCCTCTTGTATGAAGTAGAAGTAGTAACTTCATATAGTAAAGGAAAACAATAAGCTTATGTCTTGTTTACTTGGCAGCTGTTGCTGAATCTGCAACTTCTGAGACAAAAATGAGAGAAGTAATAGTAAAATGTCTAGACATTATGTCGAAGAGAAAGACTTGCTCTCTTACATGATGATTCACACACACACTATGACCAAAAGACAAACCAGGATAAACTCATAACAACCATAATCATCAAAGCTAGATGATGGAAACTTTATTTTATATAGATAGAAATTGCTTAGGTATCCTACAAATCTCTGTATTATTCATGTAAAACCTTGTTTTTCTTTTACCAACAGGTAAGTTCTCTCTATGTATCTTTTCAAATTAATTATGGTCATTCTCCAGATTCTTGTATTGAAGCCTTTTATCTCTCTGTCAACAACTTAATATAGGTCTCAATGTTCAAGAAGAATTTTGATCATCTCAACAAAGAAACTTACTTTGGGAGTTACAAGGAAGCAACTCGTGGTAACCCAAATTACTTTATGACTTATGGAAATGGGAAATCAGCTGCTCGTATTGAGGAGAATCTTCGCCCCAATGGAGCTCACAGATGGCATAACTACATGAAGGAACCCAAGTAGATTCCATTTTATGATATGAACTGAAATTAAACATCCATTTTTAGCTAAATTCCTTCATATCTGTTGCAAAATGGACCTATAACACTGCCACTTCTCACATAAATAGAGATGATTGTTTCATGTTGTGCTTGAAACATACAAATTTGGGTCCATTTTGGCTGATTTTTTCCTATACATTCTATTTCACAGCTGTTATAAATTGCATCATAAATCTTATACATGCTATTGCTTCAGAACACAGTTGAAAATTGTTTCCAGTGGGCTTATTATCTTGAAAATCTTTTCCTTCACACTCTTTTAATACAACTGCCAAAAACATAGTGCCAACTATCCACATTTTGGGGGAAGAGAGAGGGGGGGTGAGAGAGAGAGAGAGAGAGAGAAGGCTTCTCATATGAAATTGTAAAAATTGCCTAATAGGTGAATATCTAATTAAGTGCAAAGAAAAATGACAATGAGGTTGTGGGAGTGTAGGTGGAGTGTTGACACTGTCATATTTGGTACAGTTTGTATTCTTATAGTGCTTTTTGCTTCTTATTCAGTGGATGCTTAGATTATAGACAGATCAGTTCTTTTTAGAAACTTAAACATTTAACTAGAGCTTGGGGTTGTTTTCTAGAACAAAAACGGTTTATACAATATGGCCAGCGCAAGGGAACTGATGTGCTAGTCAGATGAATTGTATATTCAACTGTTCAGTTTTTCTATTCCTGTCAAGAAAAAAGAAAAAGTAGCAGAAGATGTGAATTTCCTTGTCCATTTTCTGTTTCAATGCCCCAAATGAAAAATCAGGGTTCTTTTATGATGTAACAAAATTTGTTTTCAAAATACAGAGAAATAAAATTTGAGGAGGCTGCCGTTCTACACTATACATACTCCAAGTTTTCAGATTTGACTTCAAGACGTGATCGTTGTGGTTGTAAGCCTACACAGGAAGATGTCAAGCGATGCTTCATGCTGGATTTTGACAGAAATGTAAGTTTCAAGCTAAACTATAGTATTTATCTTGGAAGTTGGAACTGTGTGTGGTTAGAGTTTTAAGTTCACTCTACCTTGTCTCTCCCTCTTTGTGTCTGTGTGCTTGCACACCCCCATGTGCTGGATGTTTACGGTAAGTTTATTGCAATGCATAGTTTTCACTTGGGCATTTTGTACTCAATTTACGTATAGATTCTGTTTTATGCGTTCATTGATGATACCGTCTTTAGGAGGATTCTGAACAATGAAGTCCTGTTGAGTTTATTTAATTTGCTGTAATGTCTTTGTCCTTGATCGAGCTTCAACTCTAACATGCTGGTAGTGTTCTATATATACCATTTCCGCTTCTTTCTCATCAGTTACTCCATTTCTTGTTCTGGTCAGGTTAAACACAGTATGATACACTCACTGATGGGATAAAGTCTGATTCACAGAATATATATTAACATGCTAAACTGAAATAGGCTGCAGACTATAATTCTGTTCAATTAAACCTGCATAGAGTTATATTTCAACTCGGGGAACCAATAACCTATTTTAACTGAAATATTACAAGTTACTTTGCTGATTTTCTGTTACAATTATGCGAATCTACAGGCCTTCATAATTGCCTCAACTGCATCAGAAGCAGAAATGCATCAGTGGTAAAATTTCACTTTAGAGACTGAAATATCATATCATTTTTCTATTTAAATTCTCTTTTTTCTCTCGTGGCTGGTGTATGCTGATGCTTTAAACATAATATATCTATCTGAAGAACTGCATGTTCTCTCCAGGTACCATGAACGCGTCATATGGACTGATACAGCACTTAAACAAAAACTTCTGAAATTGGGTATCTTGACTCGCATTTATGCTCCGATGGTACGTACGTTGATAGTTCTAATCAATTGCAATCATTTTCCCTCACTAGATCGACCTTTGTGTGATCCATTCGTATCTACTTCCCTGCTATAGGTGATCATACAAGGCTTGCGGGAATCTGGCATTTTTACAAATGTTGTCGTGTCAGCTTGGTCAGAAGATACAAAAGAAAAGAGTTTGTCCTCTACTAAGAGTAATAACTCTTCTGGAAACATTGGGACAAAAGGAATCTCTTCCAGGAGGTTTGGCTACAAGGAATCTCAAACTACAATACGAAAGGTCTTGAACTTTGCAGGAAATGGATCATATGCTATTCCCCCACAATCACCCCCTAACATGGATGATATGCACCTTCATACGTAAAATTCTTCATGAACTCTGTCATCATAAAAGTATCACCCAAAATGTCATAAAATGTTCTGTAATATCTGAGTTGATTACAGGATCAGAAAGGGGGGAGAGGGGACTGAGCTTCTTATTGACCTGTTCCACGGGAACCCTTTAGCATCCTGTTCAAGAGGATTCTCCCAGTGATCTAAACGACTGCTTATGTATTGATAAAACTCAAGGTTATATCCTCTAAGCGATGTTTTAGCAAGTTTCTAGCTGCAGTTTCTTGTAAATCTTGTAGTATACTTTGGATTCATCTTTTATGCAGTGAGAGAATGCTGGATTCTTTTATGTAGCATACTCAAACAAGACGAGTCCAGTAATTTATCACTGAGACCCCGGTACTGCAAGTTATGTCTTACTTATGCAAGTATCCAGAATTTGATGGATACAAGACCTGGATCAATGGACCTTCATACAGGAATAGGAACTTTTATCTCTAATCACTCAAGTACATGTTAACCTAGCATTCTAAAAATGTAGTAATACATGTGTAATTATTTGTTGTTTATCTAACTTTTGGAAATGAATTGGTATAGGTCCCCAAGTACATGTGTCTCCATATTTTCATCTAATTGATAACTGTCCCATTGTCCAACTTATTAAGGGCTTTTATGGGGGGAAAATTGGAGAATTAGAAATTATGAGGATATTTTCAAATTAGCAATACACCAGAGAATTTGATTAAAGAAAATTTTAGCTTAGCAACTCTAACATGGTGGCTCAAAAGCTAACCATTATGAGAAGTAAAAAGAGAACTTTTGACAAACAGAATAAGAGAAGCTAAAAGAGAAGGGCGATCAAACAATGTGTATGATTAGATGTTTGCATGTGCAAGCCTTCCTACATTCAATTGAGACATGACTTGAGAAATAGGTAACTTCAAAAGGTATAGTACTTCTGGGGGATTTTGCTGTAATTAACCTTAACCATACCGTCATAATTACGTTTATCTAACAGTTTTATGGTGATGTGAGAAAAAAATTATAATGTTAAAAATTAATGTAAGAAACATGCTGACACTTCTTTGGAGGGAAAGAAAGAATTCAAGAGAGAAGTTGTAACTTGTAATACTTCTATCCAGTGTTGCAAATAAAAGTTGCGCTCAGCAAGGCTACTCACTTGTGAACTTACTTGGTCAAAGGTCGAGCTTGATCTTACATTGACAAAGTTTGAATAGGATGCAGAGTTCTATGACTTCTATCTCGAAACTAATATGTGAGGTTAAAAAACTTGTCAAACATAATCGAGTTTATGTATGTATGTATGTATGTATGTCTAAATCTTTTATATTTGTTAGTACGAAATGTCTATATCAAATCTATTTTAGTTAAACTCAATTGAACTTAGGGTGTGTTTGGTTCCCACAGAATTGGAGGCTTAGAATTAGAATTGGAGCACCAATTCCAAATCTTCGGTTTGGACGCTACCAGTGCGAGAGAATTAGAATTCAATTCGAATTCTATGGGCCATCAATTCCACAAATTCAATTCTAACGAGTTCCAGCAAGGTAAAATGAAATTAGATTCGATTGAGTTCCAGCAAGATAAAATGAAATTGAATTCAAGTTCGATGAGCTCGAACTCTAACAGTGCACTACTTAAATTCGACTCAAATCAATTACTCCCATACTTCTATAATTGGAGGATTAAGTAGGAACGGAAAGAAAATAATTGGATAGTTTGGAGATCCATCTGTACTTTATACAAAACTTTTCCTTCCAAAACTTTGGAGAAAATACCCATCCCTCCTCTTAGTTAGGACTGCAAATAAAGTAAGCCGTTCACGAGCAGTTTGAACCAAAGCTCAATTTGAGTTCGGTCAACATCGAGTTCGAATTGATCAAATTGAACTTAAGTTCAAAGATACTTAATTTGTTAACTCGCGAGCGGGGTCGATTATATATATATATATATATATATATATATATTAATAGTAAAATTACATATATTTCTAATATTTTATTATTTGTTAAAAAATTATTATTTTATTTTTTTAAAAAAAAATTATTATTTTATTTTTTTAAACTTAAACTCAAGTTCAAACTCAACTCGAATTTGAATCGAGGTCAATCTCGAGCTGTCACATTAAGAGTTCGTTGAGTTCGAATTTGATAAAATTAAGTCGAGCTCGACATGAATAGGGCAAAATTCGATTTGACTCATTTGCAGCCCTACTTTAGCATACCATCCATACATTCTTTTTCTAAAGGTTAGGTTCATTAAACTTAAAAGAGATGCATATAGAGTAAGTTAACATATAATTTTTTTTTTGTTGCCTTTCCTCTTGTACTCCAAAATAGAATTAATACCTTTACTTTTTTCTTTTCTAAACTCCAAAACCAAATATGCATCTTTTCTCTCATAACTTATTGTTTCCCTTCTTTCTATTCACTCCTGAACTCCCAAACTAGCCCCAAGGAATCTATTGTGATTAACCACTCTTCCAACTTTTTTTTTTTTTTTTTTTAAAAGGAAAGTCCGAACGTGGCCTTGTTTTTCTTGGAACTCTCCAAAGGCTGGTGAGTGAGTGGTCACTGCCTCTCTGCAGTAACTTTATTAAGCACTCCTTCCAAAATCCCCGCCCCATTTCGATGATACAAGCTGCTCTCAAATTAGGATTCCAAAATTTCCTAGGTTTCACTTTCACTAGGTATATTTCATAGAGCACAAAATGCTGAAACTAGCATGCCTGCACTCAAAAGTTTTCATTTTTCTGTGAATTTTTGCAAGAACTATAGTGAAATTTGTTGAGTTTGTTTTTGTAACTGTTAATTTTGATAGTTTTGCAGTGAGTGCAAGGAATAGTAAATTTGTGGGCTTGGCTTCTTTGAGATTGTCAGCAATGGGGTCTAAAAATGCACGTCATTCTAAATCCTCAGCATCATCATCCTCGCCTTTATCATCACCTGCAGCCAAATTGGGTGAACCTGTAAGCTTTTCTTAATTAAGAGTTCTAAATTTCATCTTTTTCTTTTTTCGTTTTCCCTTATATTGCTCTCTGGGCTTTATTAAACATGACTCTTCGAACCAAGAAAGGAAATGGGGAAAAAAAATAAACTTTTACATATGTAAATGTAAACGTGTGTTACCCTTGTGTATCTGCATTTGAGTACTATTTTTGCAAGAAACTCTTGGAGCTGCACTTTTTCCGATGCTTTGTGGGCTAAGAATTTTAGTTTATTAGAATACTGTTTAAAGTAGAAAAATGGTAAATGTAAGCTGCACATTTGCTGAAAAATCTATTCTAGGCGTTCTGCATTGCACTGGCAAACTCAGTCATATATATGTGCTGTCCCCTTAAGAGCCCCTCTTCACCATTGGCTATCTCTCTCAAATGAAATGTCTTTTTTTCCCTATTAAGTCTTAGCATAGATTAATCTATGTTTGCAATCTGATAAGAATCGATTGTAACATGTAAATTTGTGCGTGATGATGAAATATGAAAGTTTTAGCATTTTGATTGCAGAATGTGTTTTACATGATTCAGGTAGTATCCTTGCATAGTAATATACCTATTTCCACTGAACTTCATTCAATGCATCTTATCTTCGAGTAATTTATCATAGTTCAAGCTTTTTTTTTTCCTCTCATTTTTGATATAGGAAAGTTCTCCTAAGGGTGGCATAAGTCTAGATGAGATTCTTGAAATTGATTTGGATAAAGTAGAGAAAATGACAGTCCAGCAACTCCGAGTTAAACTAAGGTATGTTAGTCTTTGCTTTGCTTTTTTTGTATGGTGTCTGGATGTTTTGGAATTTCCTGTGTTTTCTATCCTGTTGTTCATTAAGAGCGGAAAAGGGCAGAGCTTTTGTTGCGGATAGTATTAGTTTGAGTTTTGTTGCATCAAATTAGCATCATAGGAATTATAGTCGACAGCCAGTGGTTTACCCTCTCTACTATGCATTTAGCCATTTTATATCATCATAGAAGGTGAAGTTATTAGTTATAAGTAGCTATCACCTTGAATACTTTGAAAGTTGGAGAGTTTTCTCAGAGAAGCCAATTTGGAAAATTTACTATTACCACTTTAGTACAATTAACTCTGTAGCATTGGTAATCTTTTGTTATGTTTGATGATTGAAGGAAAGATTTGATCAAACTGGAAGAGGAAAGGGCGGTTCTTGGGCAGTGGAAAATAGTATCAATTTATTTCTAATTGCCGATGGAACAGATAAATGAGCGCCCATCTTTCTTTCCTTGTCTTCATTTCCTTCAATATTATATTGCTGATGGTCAGTGTTTTGCTCAGCCGATGAGCGCTGATGCTTTCCTATTACTTGTTTGTGTATGGGACTATGGGAGTGCTTGTCAATAGAGAGAACTCAATCAGAAATTAGCAGAACAGAGTTGGTCTCATTCTGAATTTTGGGTTCTCATTTGATTTGGGCATTAGATTTCTAGATCTGTTGTAGTAAGTTTGGTTTAATCTCATCAGAGTGTATGTGAGGAAAAATGAGAGCTGGATTTGTTATTTCTATGCAGCCCATGGAGTTTTTCTTTGCCATTGGCTAGGGAATTTTGAAGAAATTTTGAATCTGCATTTTTTAAAACTCCCTGCACTCTATGTTTTATATGAGTGGAAAACCAGACTAATGTCCACATGCCTATCCAGTTATTTGTTTCTGTTCGCCTTTTAATGTGTACAATGGCCACAACCTGGTAAGTGCTCAGCTGATTTGGAGCTGCATTTTAGAAGATTGGCGAATAGGACCAATTTTGAGTTGAAAGCTTGCAATATTTATGGGTTGTGTCCAGTTAATTTCTAAATGCATAACAGGAGGTTTTACATGCATTGCACTGGCAGCCTATGCGGTTGAAATGCAACCCCCTCTTTCACCAAAACTCAATCTTATATAATATAAGGAAATGCATGTGTTACAGAAAACGTAAAGATTTTTCTACAGAAAATCATGATCTAAACAACGCCTAAGAATTTTAGATACACCCGGTGACAATAAGCCCTAGCGTTTGCAACATGCGCTAACTTTGCCATCAGTACTCGAAAGATAAAACTAAGCGTGGAGGAAAGAAGTAAGCAGCACCAGTTGTTTCATGTTAATGGAGCAATAGTTGTTTTTGCTACATCAGCCGGGCTGTTGACTTGCTTGTGCCTGTGGAACATTTGGTAAACATGGCAAATATTTATCACCTTAAAAAAGTAAATAGAATATAGACATTTAGCTACTTATTACTGATTCGTTTGGATGGAATGAAATACAAAAAGATTGTTACCAAAAAATTTCAGACATATTTTTTAATCATATTTTTATCATGCGATATTATTATGTAAAAATATTAATATGTTTAGCATAAAATGTATGTGCAAACACAAGAGATATGCTTAAAGATCAATTGCATTCAACTGGCCTCTATAATTCGTGTCTGCTATGAAATGGCTCACAATCACGAAAATCCCAGCAGCCGATTTAAGATGAC